CTACGAGGAACTGGGTACTCAACTACATTTTAGTACGGCGTATCGCCCCAGACTGATAGCCAGAGCGAGAGGAAGATTCAGATGTTGGAGGACATGCTTCAAGCATGTGTGTTGGATTTTGGAGGTAGTTGGGACACGTACCTCCCACTGGTAGAGTTTGCGTACAATAACAGTTACCATGCCAATATTGACCGAGGTCCATTCAAGATGTTATATGGTCGGAGGTGCCGCACGTCGGTTTGTTGGGACGAGGTTGGGCATCGGGTCATAGGGAACACTAAAGTAGTGCTCAAGACCACCAGGCTGATTCAGCAGGTGCGCGGCCGGATGCGTGTCGCGTAAAACTATCAAAAGAGTTATGCTGACCGACGACGACCAAACTTGAATTTCAGGTGGGGGGATTTTGTGTACCTGAAGGTGTCTCCCTGGAAGGTAATTATCAGGTTTCGGAAGAGGGGCAAGCTGGGGTCTCGGTTCATAGGCCCGTTCAGGATAACGGCCCGGGTGAGCAAGGTGACATATCGCTTGGAACTGCCAAAGGAGCTTAGCCAGATTCACAACACCTTCCACGTGTCTCAGCTTCGGAAGTGTGTCGCTGACGAGTCCGCAATCATTTCATTGGATGATATTCAGGTGGATGAGGGCCTGAACTACATCGAGAGGCTGGTGGCCATCTTAGACAAGAAGATGAAAGGTCTTCGAAACAAGGAGGTAAAGTTGGTAAAGGTGCAATGGTAGCACCAAAGAGGCTCTGAATGGACTTAGGAGCCGAAGGAGGAGACGCGGGAACATTATCATGATCTATTTGCAGCTACGAACTTTGAGGACGAAGTCTTGCTCAAGTAGGGGGAGAGTTGTAACACTCCAAATCAGGTACACCTTTTGAAACCCTTGAAAATTAATTAATTGGAAAAATAGTCCCTCTCATACGCTGGGCGTACCTAAGGGTACACTTTGCGTACTATGGGAGAAGGATCACTAAGGAGCCTTTCGTACGCGCGGCGTACGTAAGGGTACACCGGGCGTACGCAACAGAGGGCCAAAACCCTAATTTCCGGACTTAAGACCTATATATATATATATATATATATATATATATATATATATATATATATATATACACCCTTAACTCATTTGAGCCTCACCCTAAACAACCTCCTTCACCTTCAAATGTCTCTAGAAACCCTAATACCATTTGTGAGTGCATTTTGAGCTATAAGAGTGTATTTGTGGTCCTTTTAGTGTTCATTCAAGAAGGAGAACTTGTTAAGGAAGCTTGGAGTGACATTTGGCTTCAAGAATCTGCATATAGGCAACCTTGGGAAGCTTCTGGAGGAATAAAGCTTGGACCTTGCCATCTTATTCATTTGATTTAGCTAGGGTTTTCTAGTTTTGTCCCTATGGTTGATTTTAGACCTCCTCTTGTGAGTTAAGCAACTCCAAAGGATGGAAATGATAGATCTGAGGTCCCTTGGTCTTTTGTCAACATAAAAATGGAGTCTTGGTGAGTGTTTTGACGTCATGCATGGGTTAAGAACCTTGGAAAGGTCTTAATGGGGGTGTTGGGAGTATATGAAGCATGCAAAGGCATAAAGTTGCCAACTTTATGCCCTAGGTCTTCTTAATAAGCTTAGATCTGACTTTTGGATGTAAAAGAATCGAGTATTGAGCACTTAATGGAAAAAGTGATTAATCTGTTAGTACGCAAGGCGTAACCCAATGTAAGCTGCACGTAAGTCCCCGAACCAAAATACATTGCGTACCAAGGTGGTATTTTAAGCGTACGCATCACAGATGGTCTTGGATTTGTTTTGGGCCTTTGAACCGTTGGGCCTCAATGGGTTATTGGATATGGTTATATTTTGAGGATGGTGGGCCATATTATCTGTGGTGGGCCATGGATGTTATGATTGGGGTCTATTGGGCTATGAAGCGCATTAATGATTTATGGACATAGACTTTGGGCCCATTAGCAAGGAAAGAATAGTTGGGCCTTATGGAGGGACTTGAAGTTTGGGTTTCCCATTGAATGTGTGAAATTCTAACATTGGGTAATGTTATTATTCAGTGCGGGTGATTATAGATTGTTAGGAGAGCAGCTTTCAGATTAATCAGAAAAAAGATGAGTCTGCTCACCATACCAATGGGTCTAAGGCACCAAGGCCGATCCATTTTATGATATGTGGTACACTAGATGTGGTAGCGATATGTCGTATGATAGTTAACTTTATGCTAAGTTGTATGTTAGTGATTTTGTGATATTTGCATGAAAGACCATGGGGGAGCCCATGACACTTGAATGTAAGACCATGTGGGGGAGCCTATGGTTGTCCGGCAGGGAAAGACAATGCGGGGAGCCCATGACACTTAAGTGTAAGACCATGTGGGGGAGCTCATGACATCCTTATGCAGGGATATGTGGTAGAGATAGCTATCATAGCTAATGTTATATGGTAGAGATAACTTATGGCTAACTTGATATGCTATGTGGTAGAGATAGCTTTATAGCTCATATGATATGTGTTATGTGGCTTGTGTGTGGGGTATGCTTTGGGGAACTCACTAAGCATTAGCCTACAGTGTATGGATTTATTTCAGGTATATCTGAGCCCAAGGGCAAGGGCAAGGGCAAGGCTTGATGACGTGACGTGCACTCTCTCATCGATGTTTTACGGGACACTCTGATATTTTTAAATAAAGTTGTAATGAATGTGGATTTGAAAACAAGTGTTTTAAATTCATGGTTATTGGAAATGTGTTTGATTAATTAAAAATGAAAATTTTCTTTTGAAATTTGGGTCGTTACATAAAATTCATCGTCAACGATTTGAAGATCATGTGAATCGAGCTTTACCGGTGGAGTATCTAGCAGGTGGGTGGGTGACGCCTTCAACGAAGCAACCCTTCACAGTTTCTGAATAAACAATTGTTTCATTGTATAATTTCTCTTCAAAATTTTATATTTCGTTAAATTTTAGGGTAGACACATACAATGGATAATCCGAGCAATGAAGAAACCACTGGAATCTAATGCCTCTTATCAACACAAACACCCCTCAGGTGACATTGGAACCCACAACGAAGTCATTGTCAAAATCGACAGTATCGATAGGAATAATTCCCCCCATTTATGCATTTGAATTGTGATAGTCCTATTAGAGGCATGATTAATAAAGATTACATTGATACGAATCATAGAGCTTCAGATTCAAAACAATCATTCGATACTGATGATTCAAGTGAAGGAAATCATTACAAAGAATCACGCTTCAACGTCGTTGTTATTTCACATCTCTTTTGTTTTGTGTGTGATTGAGAACAACAATAGATCGGAGGCAATGGATAACTAGCTAACTATTATTGGTGGAGGAATTGATGGGGCGGCAAACAACAATGGATAACAAGGATTTCACTGCAATCCCGCCCCCCCCCCCCCCCCCTTTTAATTTCCTTTGGATTTGTTAATGATCTTCTTGTTCTCGTTATTTTATAGTTGTTTGACTAAATGACTCTAAATTGTATTGTGTTTTTGTGTCTTCCTCGTTCCTCACGATCAGATTTCAAGAGGTAAAAGGGATTACTGTGGCCGGTAAGGAAGAAGAAGTCATGTGGCAAGTGAGGTGATCTTGTTTTAATGACTTGTCAAATGGTATTTGCAGAGTAGGAATGGGTTTTCCGAGTGACCCCTTCATATTTTTTCATAATGGCATTTTAAAACCTTAAAACATGAATGTTCTCTTTTATATATATATATATATATATATATATATATATATATATATATATATATATATATATATATATAACGAATGACCATTTAAACAAAAACCGATAAGTGCGTTAGGCTACAGTGACAATAAGTCTTAAAAATTTTCAACTACTTTTGTCGATCATATAAAAAATAAAAACTACCTCTTTCCAACTGGTTTTGCCGAATAAACTATGTTTTTATTATACCTTTTATGGTAAATCGTTTTTTACGTTGAAAATAAAGTTATGTTTTACTTTGAAAATAAAATGCAGGAAAATGAGACGAACAAATAAGGCCAATCTTCTTGTAAACAACTTCAATTTTCTTGATAAATATAGAATGAATGCCAAATCTGATTTTAGATAATATAGTAATATATATCACGTAAATCCTACCTAATAAATAATGATCCTTTTGCTACATGTTCCATTCTCCTTGATTTGGACACATGACAATTTCTAAACATTTTTGATTTAATGTATTTTCCACATGTAAATTTCTGATTTGTTCCAACAAATTTTAATTGACAACTCATTGAATTATTTATGAAAATCAACCTCAAAATAAATCAGAATAAATGCCATAAATAATATCTCGATAATTGCTTTCTTTCTAATGGTAAATCCATAATCTACTATAATAAATGAAGATCAATTTTGGTACTTTTCATTTTGTGATATTTTTTTTAAATAAATGATATCTACATATCCATTTATGGTTTTTTCAATTTTTATAATTAAAAAACCAAATAATATTTTTACTTTTATATATATATATATATATATATATATATATATATATATATATATATATATATATATAAAGTATTAAATTTAATAAATATGATAGTAAATTACAATTAATATGTTTTTTAATTCCTTACTTCAAAATTTTAATTTCCAAAATTATTATTATTTAAGTTTTAATATTTATTTTTTTTAATCAACCCGTATAATTTACGGATCTTACACCTAGTAATGAATAAAAGGTCATATAATAGTGGGATATTCCCTGAAATATCATTTCTTTTATTAATCATTTCAAACAATATAACCACCTGTAAAAGAAAATTATTAAACAATATAACCACCTACAAAAGAAATAGTGAAAACGATTATATATCATGTAATCATGTTCGAAACTTGGCCAATTTTTTTAAAAAAATCCATTATGAAAGCAAATTTTTATGATAAAAGTAGTTTCTTTTTACTAGAAAGGCTATTTGAAATATAGTTCGGGAACAACTTTTATGACAAGGTGTTCGGAGGTTTCTCCATTTTTAGTCTACAATCGATCGCCGCGGAGAACCCCAGCGCAAGTTTTCATAATCATTTATTGTATGTTAAAGAGAGGAAATTATATGCACTTGGTGAGTTGTTTTTTGTTTTTTACTTTTTATGAGCAAAATATATGCATTTAATGATGTATGTTATTTTTGTTAGTGGCGAGTTTAGAATGTAAAACAATATGGTTCAATATTTAAATTAAATTAATAAAGAAAATCAAAGATAGGCTTTGAAAATCTTGATTTATGTATATTTGTTTTTTGCCGAAAGCATTAAGTTGGTTCATTTAAAATATTTAAGGTAGTTCACAATTTATATTTTTATATAATCCTTTATAAAAATAAAAAAATAAGTGTGTCGAGTGACGCACCTTTGATGTATGTAGCTTTGCCACTGGTTTTTGTAAATTTTTTTTTTGTTAATCAAATGTATATTGATCGTTTTACATTGATTTTTTTGAAACAATAAATATATTAAACTACTCCTTAATTATTTTATCTATATACATTATGAGAGCTGAATTATCGACCTTAAGGAAGGACAACAACAAATACTGCTAAGCAACACCTGATATAGTGGACTTGAAGTGAAGAGTTTTGCATTATATAGTGGACTTGAAGTGAAGAGTTTTGCATTATATTTAAGCGTTTTATCAACAAGGTTTTGAATACTTGGGCATTAATAAATTCTTATCCATGCACTTTCTTTTTTATAGGCAAAACTTTATGACAAACTACCCATGGTGGTTTGGCCCAGAATCCTTCTTTATGGATTAGTTTTCAACATTTTCTTTTTCTTATAAGTTTTTTTTATATATATATAATTATGAATTTCTGATATTATAAGTATTCTCTTCGGTAAATCTGGATGCTTTTCAAATAGTATTTACTAGTTTTATGTTATAGCATGTATATATACAGGGAGTTTTGATAAATTATTAAAAATGGGTCAAATATTTCATCCATCGATGGAGTTTATGATTCCTAGGACGAAATCTTAAAGAAAAACATAAAAAGAAAATGCAGCGTTGGTGGAAAAAAAAAATCTTTGAGACTTAATTTGTGTGGTTCTCTTAGATTCATAATTGACCAATTGTAAATCAAGAAATCATAGCACACAAACCCATATCTGAAGATGGATCCAACGATGTGAAATCATGCCACATATGCCTCTGAACTCGACATTGTTTGGCATGTATTATTACAAGGAAACATAGAACGATTATTATATTCAAAGAATGTCCTAATGCATTATGATTTATGCATGAGAGATCAAATATTAAAATCCCACTTTTTTTATTTTATTTAAAAATAAATAAAAATGGAGGCAAATAAAAGGGGATGTTTGGATGTTGAATGTAGACAAGAATTGAACTCGTTTTGGAACTTGAAGCCTCTTGGTCGATTTTCTCCCAAATCTTTATTTATTATTACTTACAAAAGCTAAAATCTTATTGGCTTCTAGGATCTGCTTCCATTCAAGTATTTCAAGACTTCTTCAAACCACTTTGCCTCCGGCCATCACCCCTCCACCACCACCACTACCAGTCTACCACCACCTGCTGTCCTTCTCTTTCCATAGCCACCACCATCATGAAGGTGAGATATATGACATTTTCTTTAGGTTATGATAACTTTCATGTTTAATTTGCGAACTCATTTTATTTATTCTTTCGATCTTCTTACAGTTTATCAGTTGGATGCAAAGTAAAATTAATGGCGGACAAGGGTGTAAGAACACTAATACTCCTCGTAAGTAACCTTTCGCTTTCTTTCATGTCTTTTAATTAGGCACAAAATGTTTCCTTTTTTTAATCTGTAATTATTTGAGAAACCCTTTAAAGATTTATAAAGATGGAAGCTTGAATTAATTTGGAATGCATATGTTGTTGTAGATCACACGAATCACGAACCCCAAAAAGAAGAATTTAGTGATTGGCCACAGGGATTGCTAACGATAGGAACATTTGGAAACAACGATCTACCAATTGAAAATGAAGAAATTCAAGAAACTCGAGGTACAGAAACAATATCATCTCCAGATCTTTCCGAATTCACACCTGAAGAAATCGGGAAACTACAGAACGAGTTAACAAAACTCCTGTCAAAGAAACCGGCTGCTAATACACAAGAAGCCATTGATCTCCCATTGGATAGATTCCTAAATTGCCCTTCAAGCTTAGAAGTTGATCGTAGACTTTCTCTCACAGTTAATGATCATGACGAAAACAATAAAGAGGAAGATATTGATCGAACGATTAGAGTTATTCTTGGTAGGTGCAAGGATATTTGCATGAATAACAGTAGTAAGAAAGCAATCGGGAAGAAATCAATTTCTTTCATTTTCAAGAAGATGTTCGCATGCAGTAGTGGCTTTCCAGCAATTCCTAGTTTACGTGATCCGCTTCCAGAATCAAAAATGGAGAAGGTAATCAATCAATCAATCAATCATGTTAATTCAATTTATCTTTCTCTTTTTTTTTTGGTTTCTGATTACGATTCTGATGATTACAGCTGTTAAGAGCTATGCTTAAGAACAAGATCAACACGCAAAACTCTTCTCAATCATCATCAAGAACGAAGTTCATCGAAGGAAAACGACAACCCAAGAAAGTGAAAGTTACAGAGAATGAAAATGAAAAAGATGGGTCGAAATGGGTGAAAACTGATTCTGAATGTGAGTGTTTTTACATTTAGAAAGTCTAGTACTTGTTTTGAGTTATAAGGTCGTGAAACAGAGTACTGATGATGTTGGTTTAATTTTGCAGTTATTGTTCTTGAGATATGAAGTCGTTACTAAAATCTGTAAAGATCTCCTGACATGATGATATATCGTTTTCTTGGTGATGTACTTTTAAGGTAAAATTTGCCTTGTTTTTTTTTTTCTCACGAGAAGGATGGATGACCAGAAGTTGAGATCTGTAAAATGTAGAGGAAAGGCTTCACATAGAAGAAGAAGAAGAAGGCTACCCTTCTCACTCTGTTTGCTTTTTTCATGCTTGTATTCATTTTCATGGCTGCGAATGCATGTTATGTCTTGTTTTGTTTTTATGATATTGGACTATTTGTTATAATTAGGAGAAAATACTTCATGAGTTTGTAGTTTGTATGTATATAGCATATGAATAAAGTTATAAAATTGTTATTTATCGACCTCTCTATATGAAATGGGCCCCAAATAAGTAGATTATACAAATGATCTGAGGTAAAGTTCATAATAATGATCTTGAAGGTTATAAGGAAATGTCCTTACAAGAACAGTTTCATTTTAGATAGGTGCAATCAAATTTCAAAATTGTAAATCATATCAAAAGAACCTATACAATACCAAGGGCATCCACAACATCTCAACCATTAAACATATATAAAATTTTACTCTTTAAAATCCATAATCCATTAAATAACTATTCAATCTCAATTAGGAACGCATCTTCACAAGGGCAACCTGTTTTTTTTTTTCAAGAACTAGTCTCTTACTTTTAAAATTTTTACATATAAAACCTAAAACTAAAAAAAATTGAACTTGGCCCCATGTTCTCCACTTGTTTATAAGTTTTTTGAATTTGTTTTTTACAATTTGGTTTTTACATGTTTTTAAAGTTTAAAACACACACACACACGCACACGCACGCACACACACACACACACACACACACACATATATATATATATATATATATATATTTGAAATAAAATTCATGCAACAAAATTAGTCTTACAATAACAATTTGAAAAAAAATTCATGCAACCAAACTTTAATAATTCTCATTCCAAATTATGCATCACTCATTCCTCTTTTCATCAACGGACACAATGTTTAATTCTTCAATACAAGTTTGCAATAAGAATTTTATATGTTCTGCAACACTTGGTTTTGAATCATTTCATTATTTGGGGCCGTGGCCCGATCATTGGTTATCCTAAGGCTTAGGGTCTTAGGGAAGGGAGGAATTGGCCCTTTTTGGATGTGGGTGCTATAAGCTAAGTGTTTTGAGCGTTCGATTGTGTTTTGGAGCCCAAGGGTATAATCGTAATTTGGCAGCTCAATCCTTTATGAAATTTGGGTTTTTGTTCAGGAAGTTTTAAGGTAAGGGAGAGTTGATAGAAGTGTAGGGCTTTCTCGTCACCTTTCCATGGATATAAAGAACATCGAAAACTGATTTATATCGAGGAAGTTTTGGTAAAATGAAGTTAAGTGTTTTGGAGGATCATCTAGTACGCGGGGCATACTAGTTGCATACGCGGGTGTACTAAGTGGCTTGGTCGTGGGTTCTCCTTAAGCACGCTAAGCGTACTAAGGGGTACATGGGGCATACTCCCTTCAGCATCAAACCGTAATTTTGGGGTTTGACCCCTATATAAGAAACATTATATCCTCTAGATATTTTAGGACAACCTCCATCCCTTTTAGCCTATATTGAAACCCTAGAGTGCCTTGAGTGAGTTTTGGAGCTTGGAAGAGTATTTGTGGTGGTTTGTGTAAGAGAAGAAGAAGCTTGAATGTAACATCCCAAAAATTTCAACCAATTAAAACTTTTCAAAACAACACATTTACTAATAAAAGTGTACGGTCATGCCTTCGCCTTGTCACGATTCTCTGAAGTACCTGAAACCATAAACCAAAACTGTAAGCACAAAGCTTATTAAGTTCCCCCAAAGTACCAACACACAAACCGATAACATATATAAATAACTGATGGGTTTTGAGCATAACTACAAATCATATGTGTTCAAGCAACCATAAATAAAGGATCTAGGTTTTCACTAGATGAACATACAAACTTGAATACAAAGGAGAAAATCCTAGGAAGCTAGTATATAATTCGAAATCTATACAAAATAAGGTTTAGATGTGTACCTTACTTGTTATGTAGTAATAACAAGAAAACCTTGTAGATCTTTAGCTCTTGAAAGCAAGTGCCTCAAATATGACACATATAATGGCTTACAAACACTCTTTGTAAGAGGATAAGAAGGAGAAAGGAGGAGGCACACCAGATTTTCGGCTCTACTAGGGTTCTTCCAAGGTTGGCCAAAAATCACAAGCCTAAGCCTCCTTATATATTGCAGGTTGCTTAGTCCCAAAGCAATGGTTTGCAGGTGGAAACCCTAATTCCCTTCTTAAGGCCTAAGCAGCCCATGGACTCCTCAACAAATGGCCTTGGACGAAAACTTCTATGGCCACCCTATAATTTTCGTCCACTCCAATCCAAGGGGTCCAAGAGCCCAATGTCACAACTATCAATGATTTGAAAAATAGCCCTTGTATTTTAATTAATTCCATTAATCGCATAATTAATTCCAAATTAATTTCTAATTAAATATTAATTAAACAACATGATTTCTATTTAATATATTATTTTCATAACATGTTAATAAATCATTTATATGAATTTATTATTCCAAAATATAAATTCAACTTCTCTCCAAAAGTCATCATGTCAAGTTGCAAGAGTGAAGGCAACACAAAAGGACTTGTGCTTCTATCAATTCAAGTATAAACTAATTATAGTTATCGGCTTAGACACCTAATCCAACAATAACAACATGCAATGGGTCCATAGCTAAAAGACTGGATAATCCATGAGCCCACAATATGAGTCTGGCTTGCCAATAAGGCCCATAGCTCATACTTTTCTTGCTCCCGAGCCCACATAATAAGTCTCGCTCGCCCTTTGGGCTCATAGATTATATATGGCTTACTCCTTTGGTCATCGAACTAAAATACCAATGTTTAGCCCTCAGTACAAGTCTAACATACCACCCGGTCCTCAAATCATATCTGGAATGCCATTGAGCCCTCAGTATGAATCTAGCTTGCCCTACCCAACCCTTAGCTAATATATGGAATGCTACCGAGCCCTTAGTATGAGTCTGGCTTGCCCTGACTGGCCCTCAACTCATATTTGAAATGCTATAGGTTTTGTTGGCTATAGTAGAAAGCAATACAACCTCAACCCAACACAATACACTTACATATACCGATAATCATACATACAAAATCATAGGTAGTTTTACAGATCTACCAGACCAACATATCGACAACTAGCATAAGCATACATATCTAATCCATACTCAACAAATTAGATGATAACAGGATATCAAACTGATGGGTCGACCTTGGTGCCTTCGACCCATAAATACAGTGAGGAAAACTCACCTGAACCCGCTTCAAATGACTGCTCGCACCGCTGAACCGGGTAACCTCGCGCCAATTAACAATAAATACAATTTTAATCAACAATTGATCTGATAACCCAAAATCCGAGGCCCATCCCATAAACTAACTTCCTAAAGGGTAAAATACCATTTTCCCTTTTCCTTACTTATTCCATAACCAAGGGCCAACCCAACATGCATAATAAGCCTAAAACCCAAAATGGCAATCCAAAGCTCAAGACAAAAGCAACAAAATCCCAATATGGCCCAACTTCCTAATTTGGCCTAAAATTATCAAGGGACCAATATCAAGAAAATCCTTTAGCCTAACCATGGCCCAAAAACATAATCCCATTAGCCCAACAAGGCCCAAACTTAAAATGCCTAATAATGTTGAACCGGGGAGTACGCCCAACGTATTCAAGATGCATGCCCTGCGTACACGACCTCGAAGTATAGGGTACAGGTCCATTTAGCACAAATTCAGCATTATGCTTAGCGTACACTTATTTACGCCCAAAAAGCCCTTAATTGGTTAAGACGAAGTTCCAAAATCTCAGATTTGATTCTATAAGACTACTTATCACATAAAGTTGGTAACTTTATGTGATTGCATGGAAAAAAGGGAATAAAAAGCTCAATAACGATTTAACAAAGGTCTTAATGCTTTCATGGACCAAAATACACTATAAAGCTTGCATTTTTATTAACCTAGGGACTGAATGGAGCTAAGATCTAACACCCATTACTTCTGGAGTAGATCAAAAACCCATATTTAACACAAAGACTCCAAAATGCACAAATTACTCATTGAACTAGATCTAACATATAAGATCACCAAGGTAGAAACTTTATACCTTCAATATGTAGATCAAGGTGCAACAATCCTGGATCCAAAAGCCTCAAGCAATCCCACACTTCTCCAAGAAGCTTCTTCTTTTCTATGGACACCAAAAGCATGAAAGAACACTCAAAAACTCAAAAACCACTCAATTTGGGGATAGGGTTTCAATTATAGGGTTTAGAGGGATGAATGCTGAAGATATTAGGGTTAGGTGATGAGATAAGGAGTTTAAATAGGATCCAAGACCCTAAAATAGGGTTTGGAATTGACTGGAGTACGCCCATCATACCTCCTGTACGCCATGCATACTCCTAAGGATAGTCACGACCAATTAGCTTAGTACACCCAACGTTAGTTTCACTACTAGTACACCATGCGTACACCCGTGTACCTGGTGAAACCTTAGTTTCACTAATCTTCCGAAGGCCATAACTTCTTTGTTACAAGTCTGTTTCCGACGATCCTTATATCCATGAAAAGGTAACGAGAATCTCTACACTTCTATTAATTCATACCGGCCTTAAGACCTTCCGAACATAAATCTAATTTCCATAAAAGTCCAAACTGACACTTTACCGAAATACCCCTAGGCTTTAAAATACCAACCGAACACCTAGATTACCTTAATTACATTACTTGCACCCAAATTATTCTATATCTCATCTTTTTAAGGCCTCAAGCCTTATGATGACCAATCTTCAGGCCGCAACCTCGAATTAGGAAATCGGTTCGGAATAGGGCGTTACATTGAAGACTCATCATTTGTAAGAGAGCTTTGAGATCCAACTTTATCATCTTCTTTTGGTGGCTTGTGAGGTATAAAGTTAAAACCTTGATATTTTATTTCATAGATCTACTCCTTTGCATGTTTTGCTCATTTTGGTCCTTTTTGATTGGTGATTGGGAGTTAAGGCCGTTTTTGGAGCTTAGCCTTATAGATCTGGACATATTAAGGGTTCCTTGGGCATAAAGATGCAAAATTTATGGTGGTTTGGGTATCATGCATGTATCAAGTCATTCATTAAGGTATTTTGAGCTTTAGAGCCCCATTTAGTCAGGCATACACATCAAGTTGG